TTTAAAGGTTTATAAACAACTAGAGCCACACCAAGAGATTATCTCGTCTCCTGAAACCGCGAACCAATGGGAAGACGGGACCTCCTGGCGTCAATGACAATGCATCAAGATTTTCCCGGGAAGAGTATCGCATAGCAGTCACGTTTTTCTTACCTCGCTCTGTTGAACGTTGAGTAAAGTAATGGGCAAAATTGGCAAAGAAAAGAACCGCGGCAAAAAAGGTAAAGCTGGAGAAACTGCTGAAAAGCAAAACAGAGAATCGACAGACAGCTTAAGTAATAGACCACTTTCATAAATGGCTGCCGGATTGATATTCTTTTGTTTGAATTTAAATTAGCCCTTCTGGCCTCGTTCTCCAGTACAAAATTCAAAAGCGAGGCCAGAAGGGCCAATTTAAATTTAAACAAAAGAATATTAATCCGGCAGCCATTTATGAAAGTGGTCTATACCCTTATCGCTAACATGAGTTCCCTCGGGTATATTTATTTAAGATTTCATAAGATTTGAGGCGATTGCGTATGTTTTGTATCAAGACAAGTACTTGCTTATGGAAAGGAAACCTGGTTTTTTACCTTATGTACGACAAATGTAGATTTGATGGCGACTTCTTTGTTCGTAATTTGGATGCCAGCATGGAGAGGAGTGCCAGGATTAATTTTTTTTCCTGACAAAATGGTACCATTCCTCTCCTCTTCGTGCCTGTTCTTTTTTCTTTGACCATGGACTCCTCTCTAATTTTGATTTCTGTTTTTTATCCATGAGAAAAGACTTTCCACCAGCAGAGAACTTCCATGTGTGAATTTTGTCAAGTCCGCGACGTGTGTCAACAAAATATCCAAAGAACATAAAATTACCGCGAATAACACCCGAGGGCCCCTTTACGAGATTATGACACCCTCTTTTATTGGAAAATACGTTTGCCTAGATAAGTCGGATGCTTTTTGAGATTTTTTTTCTTTTTGTAAACGTTAGGTAAAATGTCTAATTTTAATCTAATCCAATAAAAGAAATAACGAAATTTTCGACCCCTGAAGGTGTGAAGTAACCTTAATGGGCGACAAGCGTCAAGCGGCGACATTGAGGAGGAAACATGTTTACTTATCTCACTTGAGCCCAGGGGATTTCACTCCTTAGCCATATCATAGGAGACGCTGCAAAGTTTTCAGAAAGTATAAATGGATAGGACGATCGGAGAGGTAACAGTGCTCATTGTGATCAGACAGAGAGCAAAGCTGCTTGGCGTAAAAAACGTTGATTAACGAACTGCAATTCTTTCGTTAAAGATTTCAGGTATGTGGCCTGTTTTCGTGTTCTTACAAAAAATGTGTTTCTTAACATATCATTTCTCCGACTTGTCAAATATCCAGTCGCGTGCGCCAGTGTCTTTCATCCGAGTATCACTGCAAATCGTTTCTCTTCACTAAAAAACCAAGTTCAGTCTGCAAGTCTGTGTGTGAGGTGATTCTACACCTAACAAGTCCTGATGTACTCACAAAAACGAGTTTCCCAAGTTTCTGTACTATTTTTTTTTTGGGTTTTGTGGATTATGGATGCTCAACTTTGTATAAAATAATTCTTGTAAATGGTTTGAACTCGGGGGCAACGTGCGAAAGTGTACTACGATAGTCYGGGTTAGTATATTCCTGAGAAGGACTGTTGTCGGTGGTGGTGACTGTCGTTTCGACAACTTGCACGGAAGTCATCACCAGAGTCAAGTGAGCCTTGACTTTGATGATGACTTCCGCAGTCAAGTGAGTCTTGACTCTGATGATGACTACGGCAAAGGTTGTCGAAACATGAGTCACTCCCACCGACATCTGAGTCCTTATCAGGACTATACTCACCCAGACGATCGCACGACACTTTTACATTATAATTATTCATGGCTTGTAAAGCCTGGTTTTCACTAGCGACGCAAGCACAAGTACAAGCACAAACGCAAGCAGAAGGTAATTATGCTAAGTGAAAACGAACGTCGGCAAACTAAATTCAAACTGAACCAGTTTTCAAAGCACTAAAACGCCGGCAAGAAAAAATCCAAAAAGGGACGGCCGTGAGAGGGTAGAACTCAAGGCCACTTGTATAATGTAGACGGATGTTCGCATGATAAGGAGAATGCATTTATGCCAACTAATGCATCTGTTCCGGTGGACTTTTGTTCGTGTTACTCAATAGACATAATAACGGACATTCATAAGTTAATAAACAAGTTAAAGCTATCTTTACAAAGGATTCCATTTCACAGTGATAAAAACAATGATGAACTCGTGGCCATTATCACACTTTTTGGTCAAAAGACGATCTGTTTATTAACAACCAGGCAATTGCGTTGGCAGTGCTATAAAGCTCTGACAAAGGGCTAACGCTCGAAACGTCAGCTTTTATTATCGTAACGGTGGCCAATTTACCATTTCAGCTTTGTTGATATATTCAAATTATTACAGTGCTATAAAGCAATTGGTTTATACCTCAGTTGGGCATTCATCGAGATATAAATCACATGAAAAGTTTGGAGAGCACTCAAGGAGCTGCGCCGCGAGCAACTCTTACGCATCTTTGGTGCTCTAAGTAAACTTCCCGCGTGCTTCAAATCTCGATTAACGCACGATCGATGACGTATGAACCAACAAACATGTCATGAACATTTCTTGATACTAAACGTATCGCTTTTACTGTGAGTATCATAAGCCGTTATAGACAACTAAAGGAAATGTTTTGCATTCGTTGCCTCTGTATAGAATGGATAAAGTGCAAGCCAAAGCCGGCTTTACAAAGTATTTTGGAGCAAAAACAGGAAACCTCAGCAAAGAAACAACCGAAGACGAAATAATACGTATTTATGATGAAAGGTCACGAACGTATGACCAGGTGCTCTTCGAAAAAACAAACTAGTGTCAATTAATGATGAGAAGGTTCTTGTTCAGGGGTAGAATTGATTGACCCGTCGGACTCCTGATAGAGAATTCATTAAGTTTCATCGGCCCGTTCCTCGAAAGTCCTTGTAGCTTATTAACGAACCTACTGCAACATTTTTAATCTAAATCAAGGGTATTGAAATGCAGGTATTAGCTTAAAGGCTTTACTGCGTGAGTTTCAAACTTTCGTGGCAATATCTTCATTTCGAATAAAGATAGATCAGTTTTTTGGTCCGTAAAGTTACCATAACTCTCAAGAAACAGTCCTTTTAGCTCGATCCCCGGTAATGTCATTTTCTTGTGTTCTTAGGGTATGATTTGTTCAGGGAAGTCGAATTATAACGAACATCAAAAGTTAATTAAAAGAAAATCTCATTGTTGAGGCCCCCAAACTGCGTTGGGCACACGATTTAGGAGGCCACAAGATCCTGAATTAAGGTTTATTTTACTCATGGCCAAACATACAAAGCTACACGTCCCTTTCAAATATATTACTTACCGTGGACAATAATTAGTATTTCCCTCAAGTAAATAAAAAGATAGATTTCAATGGTAAAGAGGACAGGTTATCCTATACTATTTTCGCATTATTAGAACTGTCGAACTTCACCTCAACTTATTAAAACAGTTCTGAGAGCTTAAACTTTGTCATCATGTAGGAACATTTAGCGGCTAGCTCTGTCTATCACAAGCCACTTGCCGAATGTTTGCATGGCGCTATAAAGGACGTTTTCCAGGACAAACCAAAGGATCAGATCAAAATTATGGACGCTGGAGCTGGAACAGGCCTGATAGGAGTTGAGCTCAAGAAACTTGGATACACAAACTTATGAGCTCTGGACATCTCTGCTGATATGCTAAACCAAGCAAAAAAGAAAGAGGTCTATAACGAGTTTATATGCGCGTCTTTGAGCGAGCGGCCCATTCCTGGAATTGGAACCGGGCAATTCGATGCTTTGATTTCTGGTGCGTCAATCATTGACGGGCTTATTTGTTCATCTGCTTTTGTGGAGATGATCAGAGTGGTTCGAGCTGGTGAGTCTTTAAGTAGAGTTTACTCCAGCGCTGTTGTTTTAGACCCACGGGTGTGCGCAGCGGAGAGGCTCTTCTGCTGTCATTTGTGGGATTTGACACTAGAAAATCAACTGGTCGCGGGTCTAAAGCATCTTCGGTTTAAGAAGCTCTCGCACAATGTTTTGAGTTTTTTGTACCCCGTAGAAAAAAGTATTTTCTAGTTGACGGTATTGACTAGTTGAGATCATGATTTGGTGAAGCCCCTAATGAAAAAGTGGCAAAAGTGGAAGAAGGATGACTTAAGATTGACGAGATAGCTGAATTGAAAAAAAAGGAAAAACATGTATAAGTCATTCTCAAGTTTCTATTTTGCCTGCTTGTCTTTCTTGTTGTTTTTTTTATTATTATTATTATTAATTTTTTTATTTTTTAAGCTTAAAGCGTGCGGTAGATCCTGCAAGACCTTGCGGCTGTGAAAATTCTTTAAACTGAACATCTGGAATCTGACTCGAATCTCCTTTCATTCTATTAAAATGAGGAGTTTACAAATTCGTTAAAGGAATTTCTTACGATAGCAAGATCTCGCCTTCTAGTTGATAAGAGTTTGTTCTCGGCCTCTCTTTTTTTTATGATACACTGATCATATTTTGAGGGACGTTACTGGGTAAAAATCTCTGCGAGTGAAAGAATCCATGTATGGAAAATTGTCAGAGAGGATGGAAATTTTTCAAGATGAATACCTTACGAGACATAACTTAATCCTGATGTTGATTTTTTCGCAGATGGCCTCCTCTGTTTCAACATTTGGGAGAAAGAATTAGGATACTATCAGGATATGATGTCGAAGCTTGAAAAAGCTGGGAAATGGATCTGCTGGTCCAAACAGACTTTACCTCTGTATGCAGCCGAGGAACTGCCCAAAGAAACCTTGGGATTCGTTTATAAAGTTTTGAAAAATTAATTCAATGACATGTTTACACCAGCCCATTACCTTATGAGCTCCTGATATCTAACGCACCTAAGATCTTATTCAATGCTAATTCTCGTAACTGATGTAAAACGTGACTTAAATTAAAATTCTAATCTGAACATTTGATGTGAAATCTCGAGCATCAAATCACCCTAGCTGATGTATTTTTGACAAAATATTACAGAGTACAATTTAATAAATCCTTTCCTGTAATCGTAATGTCCGTGCCACATGATGACAACGTCACAGACGATAATAGACCTTAGAAACTGTGCGAAGATGAGAAATCCATTACTTATGTAGTCACACTGAAATAAAGGTGAAGGCTGGCACAAGTTGTTGTTCACTGTAAGTGTAGGCTTTGGTTGATTGTTTGAATCTCATCTCCTTAGACCCGAATTCTATAGCGCCTGCAACTTACATCGAAGTAAAATCGCATTTCAAAATCACGAGATGGTGAGCCAGTCGCTAGGATAGTTAGGTAAGAGAGTTTCCACGAGAAAACGGGGGGATCGGGTGAGTGGTAATAATGCTCAAATCACTGACTCGGCTCAAGCTTAGCACAAATGCAAAGTATGAGAGCTCAAAGAAGTCATTTAAAATTTGATCAACGAAAACTAATCAGTAAAACAGTAATGTTCAGGGCTGGATTCCATGGAAATAAAAGCAAATAGCAAAACGCTTTGAGAGTAGAGAAATTTCCAGAGTCAACGTTTTTTTTTTTCCGCGAGGTCTGTGGGAGGTTTAGAGCTAAACAGTGATAT